CAGGGATCCCTTTAGTGACCATGTAGTTTGCTACCCGCCCCCTTACTTGGGGGCACTGCTCTTCCCCATTCTGATCATATGATGCTAGTACCTCATCCCGGACCACCCAAGATTGATTATCACCCCAAATGGACCAATCAGAGTCCCTCCGGAGAGTATTTCTATTGGAATTGGAAGGGAAGATCCTTTGTACCCGATCTGATCGGGAGCTATTAGGATGCTGAACAGTGCATGGTGTGTTGTTTGCTTCTTGAAAGTATTGGTTGGAAAGAAAGTGCCAGTATTCAGGGCAAGAGTTGAAAATGGAGACAGAACATCCTGATGGTGTCAGAGTCCATGATTCAGGTCTTCCTGGAGCCTAGATCTACCCCAGCTTGGTCAGGTGGTGCAGCAAACTGGACCTGGGGTGCTGCCGGGAGGTAAGGCAGGGGATTGGGCTGAAGACGCAGCAGGAGCCAGATCACAAAGGGTCAGGCGAGTGAGCTTTGGCTATGTCCTGGGGGCAGTAGAGGAGAGTCTTCAAAGGAAGGGCTTCATGAGGGTCAGATTTGTGTTTTGAAAGATCAAAAACACAAGGAGCTGATGGGCAAGACTTACTAGGAAGGGGAAGGGGACAGGAGGGGCTGGTGGCATGGGAGCTGGTGAGGACGCCTATCTCCTAATCCTTGGCCCAGACTTCATGGGGCAGGGGAGGCCCAAACTTCAGAGTCAGACCTTATGGGTTCCAATCACGGCCCCAACTCTCAGTTGTTTTTTGGCTTTGGGCAAGTTATGTGAGCTCTAATTTGTGCTGGAGGAGGATAAAGGTGGGACTGGAGAGAAAAATCAGATTTCATGTGATTATTAAGTCTTGAGCTGGGGTCCAGGGATCCAGGATCTACAGTCTGAGAAAACACCTCCTACGTAGAAACCCATGCCAATCCACCCCTCTTCCAACCTCAGCCAACCTCCTACAGCACTTCCTGCTCATCCTCCATGAACTGACTCTGATGAAGGAGAAGGCAGGCAGGGGGTGTCTTCCAGGGACCAGGATGAGGGGGAGAAGAGTGGCTGAGCCAGCCCTAGAGAGAGATGCCATTGTGCCCAGTGGGGCCCCAGGCCTTCCCTTACCCCCAGGCCAGCCCCAAACCACAGGCCACGTCCTGTTTCTCAGAAGTACTGCCATTTCCTAGAGCCCAGGGTTTGTGGGGGGATGGGAGGAGGTGGCTTCACAGCTGCTGAAGGAGGAGGAGGAAGCGTCCCTAGGACACCTGGAGGCCAGGCCTGGCACCATAATAGCGTGATCAAGTTCTGGGGCCAGGAAGCTACCTGGGAAGGTCAAGTGAAATAGAGGCTCTGAGCCCAGGTCAGCTGCGCCTGGCCCCCTCCAGTGCTCTGGGACCCATATGGATACAGAATCACAGACCACAGTTGGAATCCAACTCCTCCATTTATTATCATGTGACCTTGGTTGGTCACTTTCTCTCCCTGAGCCTTAATTTCCTCGTCTGTATGAAATGGTTAATAATCCCCACCTCACTGGGTTGTCCTTAGGATCAGATGAGACAATTAGTTTGAAAGTGCTTCCTTGGGCCGGCCCGGTGGCGCACTGGAGAGTGCGCCGCTTGGGAGTGCGGCGGCGCTCCCGCCGAGGGTTCGGATCCCATGTGGAGACCAGTTCCCGCTCACTGGCTGAGTGCGGTGTGGGCGCAACACCGAGGGTTGCGATCCCGTTGCCGGTCAGTAAAAAAAGACAAAAAGGAAAAAAAAAAAAATTGCTTCCTTAACTAATGGCCAGCCATGTGGGAAGGGATGTCACTACCTCATCCAGAGTCCATGCTGTGCCCAGCCTAGCCACCACACAGGACAGTGAAGCCCCACAAGGGGCAGAACTGGTCAGCCCTGAGAGACCACCCCTCTCTTCTCCCTCACCACACCCAGGGTTACACAGTGAGCTAGTGGCCCAGGAAGAACGGATTTTAACTCATCCCTAAACCTTACCTTCCTCCAGCCTTGCTCCTGTTTCCTCTGCTTTTCCCTCTCCTGCGGCATCTTCTCAGCACTGAGACTTGCTTAAATCTCTCCCATCCAGAAAACCTCCTTCTTCCATCCCATGTGCACAGCCTCTCTCTTCTCCTCATTGCCGAATTTCTTAAAAGACTTCTGTTTCCTCATTTCCCAAATGCTGCCTCAGTCCCCCCAACCCGGCTTCCACCTCTCAGCTTTCCTGACATTGCTCATTGCCATGGCCACCGCAGCCTGGTCTCCATAGTGAACCCTTGTACAGCCTCAGTGCCATGCTCTCCTGCCTTGTCTCCTGCTTCTATGGTCGTCCCATTGCTGATGCTCCAGGATTCTGTTCTGGTTCCTTCTCTGTTTACAATCTCTCCCAGGCCAATGGGTCTACCATTCCTGGCTTTAGTTATAGGCCAACAGCTCCCAACTGCCCGTCTCTATCAAACCCATCAAATACCCAAAGGGCTATGGATATATATTTCCTGAGACTGTGTGCTTGGCTGAAACTCTCCTCTGACAGCAAGCGAGACACTAGGTACACACTTGACTCCTCCCTCTCCCTCAACCCTGTATCCGGTCATCCACTCTTCCATCCCCATGGCCACTCTCCTACCCAGGCACTGTCATCCCTACCTGGGCTCAGCCTCATTCTGCCAGTCCGTTTTTCACCTAGCAGGCAGAGCCAGCTTTGTGAACCACAAATCTGACCAAAGCACTGAAACCTTTCCAGGGCCCCTGCTGCCCTTGGGAAGAAGCAGGTCTTATCAGCTGGGTGTGCAGCCTCGCCCCACTTTGCTGTCTGCTCGAACTATTATCCAATGGCAGCGAGCCATGTGATTCTCCCTACAGTTTGCTATTTTTCATTTTCTACAGAGTTTTCACTTCCTCTTTCATCACCCACCTGGCTCTCTCTCTCTCTCTCTCTCTCTCCACCTTTTTTCCTACCTCCTGCTCATCCTCCTGAGCCTTCAGAAGGGGTTCATTTTCTACAGAGTTTTCACTTCCTCTTTCATCACCCACCTGGCTCTCTCTCTCTCTCTCCCCACCTTTTTTCCTACCTCCTGCTCATCCTCCTGAGCCTTCAGAAGGGGTTGAGTTTCAGTCTGGGTTGGGGGCTGTGCTCCCCAGGGTCCCTGCCATCACCACTCTCAGCACTCAGCATCGTGATGCCTCTGTCTCCCCATCTCCTCCTCAAGACCTAGGTGTCCCTAAGGACAGGAAGCTCCTTACACTGTGTTAGTATGAAGTCTACCCCAGAGTAGCTCAGAAAATGTTTCATGAATGAGTACATGGAAGGAGAAGACCACTTAGAGTGGTGGAAACCCGTGGTACAGATGCTTAGAGAGTCACATGGTGAGCCTTCTGTTTACACACTTTGAAAACTCTAGACCAAAGTAAAGAGGGGTTGATGTGCTGGTAAGTGCCCCCCATGATGGGAAAGGTTTGGGGTGAACACCATAGGCTTCAGATAAGCCTATCAGAGAAATGAGGAAGCCCACTCCTGCCTGAGACCCTGGCTTGCCTCTGATTAGGGACCCTTCCTCCAACCCCATTCTCCAGCAGAGGGGAGGGTTGGGGTGGGGGTGTCAGGGAAAGCTTCAGTGAGTAGATGACATCAGAACTAGGTTGAAGGATAACCAGAGCTCACCAGGTGAATGGTTGAGCTTTCAGATTCCCAAGCTTTAAATGTGAGTTGTACAGAACTCATCCCCAGAGTTCTAAGTTAACCCCCTGTGGGAGCAAGCCAGGCCGAAATAATGAGTCTTTTCTAGGGGGCCGAGTAGTGGCCGTGAGGGGAGGAGGTGGATGTCTTCTGACTCAGAGGACAAGGGGAGGTTCCAGCCATGGTCCTCAAATCACAGACTACTAAACCAGGCCCCCAGGAGTTGGCAGAGGGAGTTGGGGGAGGGTGACATCCATTCCTGCTCAGTGAGGGTGGCATTGGTGGGTTGCTTAGCAGACTTTGCAAACCTCAGTAACCCAGGTTCAAGACCAAGGCTACAGAGACAATGCCCAAATTCCTCTAAGTGGCTGCATATGTCCAGCCAACAGGTCACTGCCCACCATTTCTCTGGGGCTTCCAATCAGGCTTGGGTGGGGTGGGGCCCTGGCTGTGGGATGGTTGAGACCAGCTGTACTGAGGAGAGAGCCCCGCCTGGAGTCGGGATGCCTGAGTTCTAGTCCTGGATTTACCACTTGTCACCGTGAGCTTTCGGGGAGACATCTGCTGACCCTGAGATTCTGTTTCCTCCTCCCTAAATGTTTGGGTAATTCCTGCAATGTTCACCTTAATTGCAACCCTGGGCATTAAAACATCTTTGAAAGTGCAAAGACTTATACACATGGGCAGTATAAGCGATTAATGTCTTTAATTGTAATTGTTAGGCCTTCTCAGACCATGGTGCCAGGTTGGCAATCTGGCTGCCAAGTCTTGGAAATCCTCTGAGGTGAAGATATTTGGGCTTATAACATTGGTCACAGTGTGGAAGAGGGGAAGGAATGCTAGCCTGGAGCAAGAAACCTGGCTTCCAATTCCAAATCTGCCACTAACCAGTTCTGTGGCTTCAGGCAAATTATTGCTTACTGCTCCTCCCTAAACTCAGTTGCCTTATTGTAAGTGTGGCTGACAATGGTGAGGGTCCCTGGAATATTTGTTTGGAAAGTGCTTTGAGGCTTCATTCACCCCTTCCCCTGGCTAACTAGAGTTAGTCCCCCTTCTTAGGCTCAGTGCCAAAGAGCTGTGGGAGGGAGGCTGCCTGTAAAACAGAAGGTGCTGAAGTTGGGAGCCTGGGGACAGAAGCAGGACAGGGCAGGGAAAAGGGCCTGGGCAGCAAGGCTGGGGGACCTAGCCCTGGCTCCAGTGACAACCTACCGTGAGGACTGGGGCAGACTCTGCCCCTTCTGGATCTCAGTTTCCACCCCTAGAAAAGGGGGATAACCGGGCCTGCCTTGCAGAGTCACTGCGAAGACAAGTGGGAGACTGGATATAAACCAGGCGGGTGGGGTTGAGGGTCATGCAATTTCTTATTTATTAATATATAATAACAAAAATGATAAAGCTCATATCTGCAACTGTTTAGGACTTTGTTATAAGGTCTTGGTCTCCTTGTCTGGACTGGCTGTGACCTTCAACTCCGGGGTCTGGGCTAGGAAGACGTTCCAGTGACCTGCATGGAGGAAGGCCGGAGACAGCAGTGTGTGTGAATGTGTGCACACGCGTGCGTGCACGACAGCGACAGTGACTGGGGTGGGCAAAGCTCAGGGCAGGGAGGAGTGCATGGGCCAGGCTTTGGAGCCCACGGGGAGGATGGAGGCGAGTATCCCCGTCATACAGTTCTGGCACATGAGCCAGCCTTCAAACAACCAACACTCGGGGCCAGTGCTGATTTCCTGACACCTGCTGGAAATACTCCCGTCTGTGACCTCCCCTCCCTCCCTCACCAGAAGCCCCACTTGGATCCATCTTCCTAAGCGTAGTAGAGCAAATTAAGGATATCAGAAGGAAGTGGTTAGAAGGGTTTCAGTGGGAAATGTTCCAGCAGACAAGGAGTAGGCAGTACCAAGGTTTGGGGCTCAGGCCTCCCCGCTCTGCAGCCCTGTCTTCCCCCACCCCCAAGACCAAATCCAGCCGGCTCTGCTTCACCTTCCCGCTCCTACTCTGAGTTGGGAAATCTCTGGCCCAGACGCCCACTGGATTCCTGTGCTGGGAACTGACGTCTGTGGCTGACAGCCCCCCCCCTCCACGGCCCCTCCTCCAGCACCAGCAGCCTGGGAACTCCCCAAGAGGCTCCCATCTGTATCCCTGCTCTCTTCCCCAGCCCCATGCCTCAGCCCAAGGTCCCACCTTCGTGGGTGCTGGAGAGCAGCCGGAAGTTCTGTGCCTCTTTCTGGAAGTCTTGCTTCCTGACTTTCTTGATCTGAATCAAGTGGAAGATTCCTGAGGGCATAGACAAGGAATGAGCAGGAAAGGCAGGACATTAGAGTCAGAGAAACAGGGTGACTTGGACACAAAGGTTGACTCTGACCCCTCCCTCCCCTCCCCCAATTTTGATCAGACACCAAATCCTGTTGATTAAATTTTCTAAATATTTGGAATCCCTTCTCCTATCCCACTGCCATTGTTCTCACTCACACCCCCCTGTCTTGCCTAGGTCACTACACTAGGGTCCTAACCCCTTTCCCTCCTCCTCTTGTCCATAATCCTAACTGTGGTTATTGGAAAACATCCATGTTACCCTGTCATCCCCCTTGCCTGACCTCCCATCAGCTTCACAGTAAAGTCCAAGTCCTTTCACCTCTTCTCTCTGCTGACCCTGCTCCTGCCACCAGCACCATCCTGATCTCAGCACTCACCTGTCCACAGTGCAGGGAGGGAGGGAGGGTGGAGGGTGAGAAGAAAAGAAGAAAGAAAAGGAAGGAAGGCAGGAAGAAAGGAAGGTAGGTAGGTCAGTCAGCCGATCAGCTGGCCCATATGGACTAGTCAAGCTTTGTGCATAGAACGTGTGATAAAAATCAATAAATAGGTGTGCTTATTCAGACACCAAAGAACTAGCAAGTGTCGTAGTTATAATGCCTGGCCTGTGTTCCAGCCCTAACCAAATACTTCAAGTTTCCTGAGGGGGCCACGCCTTTACGAATGCCACCCCCTCTGCGGGAACACTTTCTACTACTGCCTTCTACTTCTATTGCCACCAAGTAAACTCCTACTCATCCTCCAAGCCTTAACTGGGAAGTCTTCCCTAAGCCACCCCCAAGGCAGTTCCTCCTTGGGGCACCCCCAGCAGTTGGCTTCTGTTTGTGATTGTACCTGTTTCTAATGAGCTATCATTGTGCCTATTCCTGCCTCGCCTACTGGACTGGGAACTCCTGGAGGGCTTTCTTTCCCTGAGCCTGGCTCACAGTAGGCATGTAGAATGAATGAATCGTTAAACAGATGGATGGATGGATGGATGGATGGATGGATGGATGGATGGATGGATGGATGGATGGATGGATGGATGGATGGATGGATGGATGGATGGATGGATGGATGGATGGATGGATGGATGGATGGATGGGATGGATAGATGGATGGACAGATGGACATATGGATGGATAAACAAATATATGTGTACCCAGTCTAGGCCAGGCCCTGAGGGGGAGTGAGGTATTATCTGGATCCCCTGATGTTTGCATCTCATGGGGAGCTGGCCACTGGCACCACACACAGCACTGATGCTCTGAGCACGTGGGCTGTGAGGTCTCACCAGCTGTTACCCACCAAGGTCTCTGGCCAGAAAGAACAGATGCAACCAGCCAGCACTGCCTTCAAGAAAACCAAGAATTTGCCCTGCTTATGGGAATCAGAGTCGGATCCTGCCAAAGGGAACAGAAAACACTGACCCTGGGACTGAGTTCCAGGAATCAGGGAATGTCCAACACTGTCCTCGGGACCCCCAGCCCAGAAGCCAAGGAGCAGAATGTGGGAGAAACTCATTCCAAAGACCCAGAGGCTACATCACAGCAGCCAGCAATAAGCATAACAAGAGATGGGGACAGGTCCTTCTGCACGGACCTGCCACTGCATGCTCCCCAGGACACAGAAAAATGGGAAAGGAGGTGACAGTGTCTGGGGTGGGTACCCACACTAGTCATAATTGAAAAGACGGCTCTCTGGTCTGAAATCAAGAGCTAGCCTATGGGTCATGGTTGTGCCTCTTGCCCTTTGAAGAGCCATGACAGATCTGAGGGCAACTGAACTCTGCGGACCCCCAGGGCAGAACTGGCACTGGTGGGTGAGTCCCAGAAAATAGGACAGGCTCAGTTCAGCGTGAAAACGAACCCTCTCTGGGCTGAGCCATTTAGAGTGTCGGAGTAAATCACTTGTCTGGGGGTAAGTGTGGAAGTATGTGCAATTGGGGGCCAGAGGCCATCAGCAGGCTGCGGGGGGACTTCCTTGCCAGGCAGGGCTTGGAATCAAGACCCCTGAGGTCCTTTCTACTCTGGAACTCCAGAATTTAAAGGCCCTTAACCCTAAGCCAACCCTCTGCTCAGACTCTGGTGCTTGGGCTGGCTCCACCATGGCGGGCCGCACCTAGCATCCATCTGCTCGCTTTGTTTCACTCCTCAGAGTGAGGAAACCATGAGTGCTTCCCTCTGACAATCAGCCGTGGGGAGTGTTTGACTCCCATGGTCTGAGACAGGGAGGGAATGAAGTGACTGATGGGGCATCTAGGTAACCCGAGCGGTCAGGAGTTGGGGGCAGTTGCCAATGACAAGATGGTGGGGCATTATGAAGTTGAAGTGGCCCCTGCCTTGTTCCTTTTCTGTTGGGCCTGGGATGAAGTGACTGATGGGGCATCTAGGTAACCCGAGCGGTCAGGAGTTGGGGGCAGTTGCCAAAGACAAGATGGTGGGGCATTATGAAGTTGAAGTGGCCCCCTGCCTTGTTCCTTTTCTGTTGGGCCTGGGGACAATGAGACTGACCATGAGCTACATCCCCTCTGCATCTCCTGCACACCTTGGCTTTCCTCAGGCACCTCCCTAAAAGCATAAGGTCACCTCTGTGTAGGTGGCACTGGGGACATTTAGACCCGGGTTTGAATCTTTCCTGTTTAAATTGTGTGACTTTGAGCAAGTAATTTGACCTCTTGGACTCAGTTTTCTTATCTGAAAAATGGAGGCATTAATACATACCACTCAGGTTCCTTATGAAGATTAAATGAGGCCCTTTGTACACAGTGCCCGTTACATACCAATCACAGAGCCCAGGGTATATAAGCATGGGCTCTGGAACCAGAGTTTGGGGCTGTCACTGCTGTCCTGCCTGCAATGCACCCCTCTTGCGTCTTCACATCCCTCTTGTCTCTCTAAATCGAGGAGGCCCATCCTCCACGAAGCCTTCCCTGACCAGCTCAGCTGCCTGTAAGCTCCTGCTGCACCTGGGTCACTAAGCCATGAGGTTCTAAGGACAGGCTAGGGCCTATGACTCTCTGTGGTCCCAGCAACCAGTTGGGGGGTGAGGGGAGAAGGTCCAGAGTAAACACGCAGCCAGCACCTGCCCAGGGACCACTGGAATCTTAAGGCTCAGAAAATCGTAAGTTACTGAATCTAACTCCCCAGCTGCAGATGGAATCCCCACCCAGCCCTTGCTGGCACTCTTCTTGAAAGTGGAGCTTGCTCCCTCCCTGCCACTACAGGAAGGCTTGAAGTATGGGAAAGTTCATCCTCTCGTTGAGCTAAACCTGCTTCTCTGATATTCTTACCAACCTATGTGATGGGATGAGGAGACTGACATTTCAGCGCCTACTATAGGTCAGGAGCTATACCTATGTCATTTCATTTAATCTTCCAAAAGTCCTCTTCCCTCTTTTAACAGAAGAGAAAACTGAGGCCCAGAGAAGTCAAGTGATTGCCCAAGGCCACACAGCTAAGAAACAGCAGAACTGGTACTTGAACCCAATTCTGCCTGATTCAAAAGCCCCTGCTTGTTGCCTGACCCTTGCGGTCACTCAGAACACAGCTGCTCCCTCTGCCTGGGGCAGCCCTTCAGAGCCATGAAGCCAGCGGTCCTGTCCCGCTGTGTCTTCTCTTCTCCAGGCTGAACAGCTCCGCTTTCTTCGTCCATTCCTTCTACGGCAGGGGGCAGAGCAGAGCAGGGAAAGAGCCGCATCTGACGTCACAAGACATGGGCTCTAGCTCCCGTCCTCCACTTACTGGCTGTGTGGCCTTGGGCCAGGTACTTCACCTCTCTGAGCCTCAGTTTCCTCATCTGTAAAACGGGGATAATAATACCTAACTCTCAGGATCGTTGAGGATCAAATGAGACAGTGACTATGAAAGCACTTTATAAACTCTGAAGTGCTGCACACATTGGTTGTTATCACTGTCATCATTTTTAGCATCATTCCCTCTTCCACCCCCCGTCCTGCCCCAGCCAAACCCATCAGTAGAAGAAAGTGACCTTAGAACGAATTCACACTTTAAAACTTCAGTTTGGATCACATGGCTTAAAGTTCTCCTCTATTCAGGGGCTCGTGTTTTAGAAGAAGAGCCACAAAAGTCTCAGCAATTCTCTTATTGATGAAAACTCCCCTTGACCTTCAGTTGGTGATATGAGCAGCCTGTTGAATACTGTGTTTCTCACAGAATGAGAAATACATTCTATCAACTTACCTTGGAATTGATAGGATCCACCATATAGAAAAGGCTGAACGAAACTAGTCTCAAGGATCTCCTGCCTGAAAAGCTCTCCCCTCACAGAATGCTGAAATCCTACCATTAGACGTCTGTTTATTTCATCACGTTGGACATTACCCTGCCTGGCTCCTTGCAAGTGCAACAACCCCTTCCCCCCAGGAGAGGGAGCACTTCGAGGCCCTGGCTGAAAAGCTCTCCCCTCACAGAATGCTGAAATCCTACCATTAGACGTCTGTTTATTTCATCAGGTTGGACATTACCCTGCCTGGCTCCTTGCAAGTGCAACAACCCCTTCCCCCCAGGAGAGGGAGCACTTCGAGGCCCTGGTATCTCAGAGTGAGTGAGCTGGTCAGAACTGACAGAGAATCACCGACAGAATCATGGCCTCTTGGAATCAGGGACTCTCAAACACGCAAGGGTGGCTAGAGGCACCTGATCAACAAAACGTCCCTAAGGCCCCTGAGGGATATGGAGCACAGGAAGTGGGACAGGCCAGAGGTACACCCACTTGGGAGTGGGCCAACACTTACCTTTTACCAGTTTCCAGAGGTAGATCTCCACCTGGTCAGAGGCTTCATGCTCAAGGGCAAAGCGATGCAGGTTGTCTGGGCTTGGGGCTACTGACGTGTGGACGAGGACCCGGCCCGGCACCTTGGGACACCTGGCAGATCTGATCTCACTGTGGCCAGAGTCTGCTTTGTCCTCTGGGAGAGACAAGGAGCTCATGAAGTGTTCAATAGACATTGGCTATTCTTCTTGAAAAATCCTATATTCCAAGATTTTATGACTTCATGGAATCCAGAACATGATTTGATTCTATGTCTATGTCAAGAACCTCTGAATCTATTCTGTAACATTAGATGGTTCCATAAGTTTAATATTCTTTAAGTCCGACATTTTCTACTCCTGTGCACCTAACATTCTGAGTATCTATAAACCCTGCATCGTGTGGCTCTGAGCACATGTCCTTCCATGTCTGTGATGTTCCAAGTGTCTGTGGCCGTGGGGAGAGAGACTCAGGTCTCATTCTAGTGCCTCCCCCAGAGCCTCTTTGTACCTGGGCAAATCTTGCAGCACTTCCCAGCTACTTTCTCAGGGCGATGGCAGGGGTACTCGGTGGGGCAGGTCACACGCTGGCAGTCCTGGCGGCCATCCTGACAAGTGCACAGGATGCAGGGCAGGGGGCCAAAGGAGCGGAAGGCTGGGTGCCACACTTCCCCATGGGAGTATGTCTTCCCGCCATGCACGCAGGCTGGAACAAGGAAGGCAGGAAAGGAGGAGGGTCAGTGCCTCTGGTCGAGCAGTGGGTGGGGTGGGCCCTTGGGGTTCCCCCACTCCACGAGTCTGGCTCAGCCACATTGTCTGCAAAGTGCAGGCCAGGGTATAAAACCTGTCCCCTGTCCCTGACATCCCCCCATCTCAGCACTTGGGGCTGAGATGTGCCCAGTAGGACTTGCTGAAGATGGAGAGTCTTCCCCTGCCCTTCAGGGGCACTTCTGGTAGAGCAAGAGAGCACTGGCCTGGCAGTAGGAAAACAGCTCAGCTTCTGTCACTACCTGGCCATGCAAGCTCTGGCAGGTCCCTTTCCTTTTCTCCACCTCAGTGTCCCATCTATACAAAGGAGGGCCATGACTAGGTAGCCCCACGGCTCCTCCAGTTGGGGTGCCCTGCAGTGAGGCCCCTTTCCTCCCCTTCTGCCGCCGCACTGCCTATCTGGCTGCCTTCCCCACTCCATCCCCACTGTCCTCCTGCAGCCCAGCTCTTCTCCCTCCTTCCTTTGTCGAAAACTTTCTCTCAGCACTTCCTTATATTTATAGCAATTTATTTATATGGCTGTCTCCCCAACTAGTCTATGAGCTATTCGAGGGCAGAGACCATTTTCCATCTATCTGTTCTGTCTTCCCCATTTCCCAGTAAAGCATGGTAGATCCTCAAAAAAATATCGCTGTACTGTTCCAGGACTGGCGCTGTCTCCAACTCAGGACTGTGAACCTCAATGTCCTCATCAGTCAGATGGGGGTTTAGATCTGATGATCTGTAAAGGTACCTTCAATTTTGATGTTCTATGAACCACAAGCTCATGACCAAGTTGAGATTGGGGAACCGCTGAGTAGGGTGTACAGGGTGTGGGAGTTGGGAGAAGTTGGCAGGGGGGGTCCCTTTCCCCACCTGACAGATTGGAGGAGGGTACAATCCCCACCTTTCTTATGTTTCTCCTTCAGGACAATCTTGACAGTGGTGCTGCCTGCCCCCTTCGGTCGGAAGTAGTGAGGGATGAAGCCCAGAGGGGAGTTGAGGCCAGTGGGGGCCGGGGTGCCCAGGCCTCTCTTTCTCCCGCCATTGCCTGAACACGAGTCCTGAGAATGTCTCTGCAAATGCAGGAAAGATGAAGATGACTGATGGAGTGCGACAGACCACTGCTGGTGGCAGAGCAGCCAGATAGGCTGCAGCACGAGGCCTGAGTTAGACACCAGCAGACTTCCCAGTGAAGAGAGAGCATAGGCTGGGGATAGGACCATCGGGATGGGCTCTAAGGTGTTCTGACAGTGGATCCTGTAAAACTCTCAGAGGACAGTGACTTGGAAATCCAACCTCCACCAAGCCCTTCTGAGGCCTTGTCAGAGGCAGGGCCTTGGGGCTAAGGTGGGCAGAGGGGGTGAGGTCCTGATTTGGGAGACAGAACTGATCAGAGATGTGGAGAACTTAATATTTAAGAAACAGAAAGTGAGCATGTAGCGAGGATGCAAGTCAGGAGATTCTCCTTTGTCTGAGAAGATTTAGGAGCTGGGAGAAAGGGATGGGTCTCTGAAGATCCCACCAGGCCCCAGAAGCCCATGGGACATGAAGACAAAGAGCAGGCCCCCTCCAGAACAAAGGGTCTCCGGAGTGTAGGCCCCCTTTCCTGAGCCCCTGGAATCCAGGATCCTGAGACCTGGTCCCTCCAGACCAAGTCTTAGGAGGGCTAGCAGTGATAGCAAAGGGCATGTGGTGGGGTCAGCTTAATTGGGCAGGAGCTTCGCAGCTCACAATCTGGGGATTGGGCAGCTGCAGGCTGGGAGAGGAGCAAGTGGGCTGGGGCAAGGGGCAGAGCCTGTTACCTCCCTTGCTGAACCAGAGTCACTCACAGTCCTCCTTCTACAGCCCTTTCCT